AGAGCCCGACGTACCTCCAAAGTGTAAAGCACCCTCCAGAGTTCCCCTCATGATCGGGCAGAGGCAAGGCTTGGTCCAAAATTGCACCTTGGCTTCCTTCCCTTCCGTCCTGTATCCCTTTCTTGTTTCTCTTATCCTTCTTCAGTGAATCACCTGAATCCTCATCGCCAGGTCAGTTCCTGGAGAACTTGACCTCAGAAATTGCTTAGAAGGGTCAAGAGACTGAAAGCAAGCTCATGTTGCTGAAATTCATTAAGAATGGAGACTGGGATGAGGTTGAAGTGGAGGGCAGAGCTGACCACACCGAGCTTTGTAGATCACGTGGAGGAATTTTTGTTTGTCTGTTTAAATCTGGAGAGCTATGGAGTGCTACTGGGCAAGGCTAAGTCAGACTGACTTGATTTTATATTTTGAAAGGTGCTCTCTATTTGTGTGGACACGGCTGAAGGGGACTCAAGAGGAAGACCATCAAAGATCCTGCCATGGTTGCAGAGGAGAGACAGGAGGGAGACTGGCATCAGGGTGGGAAGATGGAGGGAGATCAGAGCGAGATCAGGAGAGTGGATTTAGGAGTTAAGGGGAGGTTCAAGGACACCTTGCAGGTTTCCAGTCTGGGTGTCTAGAGGGACGGTCAGTGCCCAGAGTGGGAGGCAGGACTGGGAGGGCAGATGAGGAGTTCCACTTGCCACCCAACAACACCAGTTTGCCTTTCCTGGTCTGGCCTAATCTTTCCATTTCACAGATGGGGACAGTGAGGTCTGAGAAAGTGTAGTGGCTCACCCAGAGTCCCCCACCCTGCCCCAGGCAGAGGGAAATGGGACCCAGGGGTCGTGCTACCTAGCCAGGGCACTTCTCTCCAGGGGGTTCATTGGCTCTGGCCTCAGAGAGCTATGTTTTGGCTGGGGGAAGGTGGGGCTTGGGGCCAGGAGGATTTGTCCTAGGCTGGAGGCCAGTTCACAGTCCCTGGAGCAGAGAATTTCTCTTGTTTCATAAGGTCAGACTGTGCCCAGCCCCAGCCAGCTGTCCCATCTGGGTCTGAAGGGAATAACCAGGGGACATGGTGGGGCTGCCACCTCAGAGTGGTGATGGAGTGCAGGGTCACCCACTCCTGGATTTGGCTTAGATCAGAACCAGGCCCAGATGCTGAGCTTCCCCTTCCTGAGCCCCTTCCTGGCTGTGTGACCTTGGGTAAGTCACCTCCCTTCTCTAGGCGTCAGTCTTCTCATCTGTAAAATGGGGACACCTCAGAGTACGGCACAACCCTCCGAGTTGTGGAAAATATCAAATGAAGAAATATAAAGCAAAAACATAATTTGTAAACAGTAAAGTGCCTAGATTTCTATCTGGGCTCAGCCCTTCCTCTGCCCCACGGCCAGACCAGCAGACTTTCAGAGGTTTGCCCTTTCACAAGACAGCTATTTCTCTGGAAAGAAAAAGACCTGATGTGGAACTAAGGGGTTCCAAGATCTTGTTTTCCTGACCCAGCAGAATTGACAAACCCACTGGACAGATGGGAAATCTGATGGGCACGCTTCTGCTTAGAGGTGAAGCCTGGATTCCAAGGCAGGGTCCTCTAATTCCCCAGATGGGAAAGATCCTTATCCATCCAATGCCCACATCGGACAGATGGGGTAAACTGAGCACCAGAGAGGGAAAGCAACCTGCCTAGGGTCACCAGGCTGTCAGCAACAGGACAGAAGTGGCTTCAGATTCCTGACTCGTAGTCTGTGCCTCTCCTGCTGTCCCTTGCCTATCGACTCCATAAGTTCCCATCACAGTGCGACAATTAGTCATATCACTGACTGACGTAGGGTTCCCTGGAAGCTCATCTTCTTCTCCCAGTTTGCATGCTGCAAACTTTGTTTAAAAAGCCCCACCCCCCCAGGGGTCCAGGGCCTCTGCCTCCTCAAGCAGCCTCTTGGGGCTGAGGCTTTGCCGATTCAAAGCTATGTTGTCACTTGTGGGGGCTCTCCTGGGAGAGGCCATGCCATACCCCACCACAGGTAGGCTTGGACAAAAGCCACTAAACTAGGCGCACGTCAAGCCCCACTCTGCCTCTCACTGTGACACTAGACAAAGCACCTTCAGACCTCTGGGTGTCGGTTTCCTCCTCAGTGACAGGGGGAGGAATCAAGCCCGGTTTTGTCGGGTCACTGTGGAAAATTCAACAAGCCTGAAAAGCTTTCAACGGGCTTAGCACCAAGCTAGGCACAAAGAAAATGCAAAAGAAATGTTAGCTGTTATCACTCATGCTTTTATATATTGATATCCATTATTATATTCATTTCTTTTCCTTTTTTATTTTAGTCAAGGTCTCACTCTTGCCCAGGCTGGAGTACAGCGGCACGATCACAGCTCACTGCAGCCTCGACCTACTGGGCTCAAGCGATCCTTTCACCTCAGTCTCCAGAGTAGATGGGACTACCGGTGTGCACCACCATGCCAATAGTTTTGGGGGTTTTTTAGGGACAAGATCTTGCTATGTTGCCTAGGCTGGTCTCAAACTCCTAGGCTCAAGCAATCCTCCTGCCTCAGCCCCCCTGAGTGCTGGGGTTACAGCGTGAGCCACAATGCCTGGCCATATTTCATTTCTGCATTCCTTTTCCCCTAGGGCTGCTGTGTGTAGACAGGCTGTTGGGGTACAGCTCTTTTTGGAGACAGAGGAATGCACAAGGTGACCTTGGGGACCTCTCCCACCCGAAGATTCATAGGTCACTCATTCCATTCCCTTTAAGCCCCCTTCTTCCTAGAAGTAGCTGTGGTCTCTCACAAGTCCACTTCTGTCCTTGCACCCCAGGTTCCCTGGCTCCCTGCCTGTGGTCCCCACTGGCGGGATGCTGTTGCTATGGCAACAGCATTTTATGAGCCTCCAGCCCCCCTCGGAGGCAACAGACATGGATGGAGATGGGCTGATCAGACATCTCACACATCCTTGGTCCTGTCGGCTGGAAGGCGGAGCGTGGAATGCAGGAATCGGAGCTGGCCTGCAGTGAGGCAGCTCAGCCCCCAGTCCCAAGTGCTCCCCAATAGCACCCGCACTTCACTGAGCTGCATGAAGAAACACCCGAAAAGCTGGCTACAAATCCAGATTCTAGTCACAGGAATCTGAGTCTGATTTAATTGTCTGGGGTAGGAAGCTACCTTTTTCTTTCTTCCTTCCTTCCTCCCTTCCTCCCTTCCTCCCTCTTCCTCCCTCCCTCTCTCCCTCTCTCCCTCTCTCTCTCTCTCTCTCTCTCTCGCTTTCTCTGTCTCTCTCTCTTTCTCTTTCTTAAGAGATAGGGACATGCTCTGTGCCCCAAGCTGCAAGGTACGATCAGACTCACTGCAGCCTTGAATTCCTGGCCTCAAGGCTCAAGTGACCCTCCCACCTCAGCCTCTGAGGAGCTGGGATTACCAGTGCGCACTACCATGCCTAGCTATTTATTTTTTTTTATTTTTGGTAGAAATGGGGCCTCGCTGTTGCCCAGGCTGGTCTTGAACACCTGACCTCAAGCCATCCTCCCTCCTCAGCCTCCCAAAATGTTGAGATGACAGGCATGAGCCACAATGCCCGGCTGGAGCTGTGTTTTGATTGCCTCTGCTCATGGCTCTGAGTCAGGCTTGCCCTAGACCACACTTGGGAAATCTTGAGTCTTGGAAGATTCCTGAAGCCATTTTGGGCATTGCGTATGTGACTCTCTCTGCTGAGATGACCCCGAGAAGCCCTGTTCATCCTCCTACACCTGCTCCAGGACGGCTTTTCTTCCGGCCACAGCCTCATTAGTAGAGGACGTGTGCCTCCTCCCTCTTAAATTCAGGGCTAGGTGACCAGGAGGAGGCCATCCTAGTAATGCACCCCATGGCAGAGGAGGGGCAAACATGCTTCAGCATCATGACGCTTGGGGGAGGCCTGGCAGGAGCTATTCTGGGCAGTGTGAGAAGCAGGGCTGCCTTCTAGACACTCTGAGATCAGGTACACAGGCCTCTTCCCACTGTGCCCCCACCTGCAGGTGAGGATGCTGCTCCCTCCCTCCACCCAGTCCCACCACCCGCAGAACCTGACACTGGGCCTAGAACCTGTGCCTAAGGGTGGGAGGCGGATGATGCTGAGTCTGGAGAGCCTGGCGGGGAGGCGAGTGGGGAGTGAGGCAGGCAGGGGATCTTGGGGCAGGAGGGGCTGCCCTCCGGAAGGTGGGACGGGATCCCGCGGGTGCCCTGAATTTGAGAATGATGGCCCACGACGAGCCGGTGAGACACGCAGCACACACTCCTGCCCTTGCCCGTCTGAGTGTGGCTCCAGCCGGAGGCTGCCGAGGCCAATGGCGTCAGCTGTGCCTGCAGCCCACAAGAGCTAACCTGGGGACCAGGAGTAAATACCCTGGCTCTCTTGCCCCTTGGGCGGGGTGACTCTGGGGGGTGTGGGTCCTCGTATTCCGTGCTGTCTCTCAGAGGTCCCAGCAGGATCCAGCTCTGGCGGCCACCCGGTGATTTGCTTGACAACGTGCCCTGTACTCCCTCCCAGGCTCACCTCCTACTCCGCCAGTGGTCCCTGGTGGCCACCAAACACACTTACCCATGGAACCCCGAGACAAGGAGCCACTCCTGAATCTCCCCGAGGATTCTGGAGGAGCACAGTTCTGCTCTCGTGCCCATGGGGATGCTGCATGCTTTCCTGAGCTCCAGGTGGTGTTTGCCTGCCTGGGGGGAGGCCTTGGAAGGGCCTGTGGCCCGGGTCTTCCCACATGAGACTGCAAAGACATGAAGCCAATCCCAGGCTTCCCAGGCTTCATTGGGTCCCCGCTCTGACCCCCAGTCTCCTTGCTCTGCGCAGGTGAGGGTCTCATCTTCAGGGGCTTTCTGGGAAGACCAGGTCTACGGTTCTCTTCCTCCCAGCAGAGGTGACACGTCAAACCAGCGCTCCACAGCACTGTCTCCCTGTGATTGACCAGGGCTCCTGGCTCCCACTCCAGCTGGCCCCATCCAGCACCCCAGAGGCTGGCGAGACTGGAGGGGACTCTCAGCTAGAGGGACGCACGGGGGCTCGTCTGGGGTGAATCCTCCAGAGACGTCTGTGAGTCCGTCCCCTCTGAGGAGAAGCTGTCCCCGGTGGGGTGGAGGACCTGGCTCTGCCTGGGGAACCTTGGCCAGGGGAAGAGGGAGGCAGGACAGCGTTCTGGGGCAGGGGAAGGGGGTGCGTGAGAGCTGGGGCCTTTGTCAGCCTCTGCGGCCTGGCCAGCTTCCTGGGGGGCAGCGCCTGTCTGGAGATGTCTGTTCTGCCCTCCTCTGGGGGCCCGAGGAGACCAACAGGCCTTAGGCAAAAGGTCCACGCCCAGCGAGTCCTGCAGGGGCAGGTCCCGTGGCCCCTTGGAAGGGGCTTCTTTGTTGGGACCCTGGCCTTTGGCCACTGCCCCCCTTCCTTCTGGGCATGCCAGGTTGACGGCAGGAGTGGCAGGCCACGGGCAGTGGGTCAGCGCCTTCTCCAGGAGGGTCTGGATCTCCTGGTGTCTCGCCCGGGCCTCCTCCCACAGGTCCTGGCCTAGGCCCGCCCAGCTCAGGGAGGCCACCTGCAGCCCCATGGCCGCAAGCTTCTCAGCGGGGAACTCGGACGCCAGGCGCTGCAGGTAGCGGCGGAGGCGGCGCTGGTCCCCGGGGCTGACTCTCTGGGCCTTGCCCAGCCTGAGCTGGGTCATCAGGTCCTGACAGTCCATGTAGAACCAGGCCACCTGTGAGACAAGAAGAGAGGGAGGGGGGCCCCGTGAGGATGGGCATGTGCCTCTCTGAGCTGAGAGGGTGCTGGGTGAGTGAGCATCGCTAGACTGAACTGACATGTGCCCGGGCAGTGTTAGGGCCTGCTCGACTGCCATCTGCTCTACCGACCATGCTGTCCAGGGGTCCCCTCCTCCCTGGGGCACACACCCCTGCCACCTGGAATCAGCCCCAGCACCCTTAGGATCTCCAGACCTTCTAACAGACCTGCGGGCCAGCAGGGACTCACCCCTCTCAGGGCTCAGTTTCTTTTTCTGTGAAATGGGAGTTGCATCAAAGATCATGAACAGCCTTTTGCGAGGGGAAACACGTGCCGCTGTGGATTGTGTTAACCCCAAGTGGTGCTGAGAGAGGAGTCTGGCTAATGTTTGCTGAGCACTGTTTGCTCTGTGTGTCTCCTGTACGATCACAATGAACTGTACCAGAAACCTATTTTAACCAAGAGCAAACTGAGGCCCGGGGAGGTGAAATCACTTGCCCCCGATTGTGCAGAAAGTCAGGGAGGAGCTGGGATTCCAACTCAGACCTGTCCTGCTTTTGAGTGTTTTCCCAGTACCTCCTGGTGTAGAAGGAAGAACCGGCCAGTGCAGTGGGCCAGGCAGCCAAGCCAGGCCAGAGCCCTTCACTCTAGCCGGGTCACGGCCCCATCATGTGATTCTGCCTGTGCCTGAGTCCCCCATAAAGTGTCTGCAGCCTGCAAGGGAGCCAACGCATTCCCTGCAGCTTGTGAAAAACATAATCTTGCTCTCCATTAATTTAGAACCCGACAGTGAGCTGTTAGGCTGCAGGGATTGGAGAGCCATTTTCTCCGAAGAGACCATCTTTCCACGGATTAAGGGAACTTGTCTTTAGATAAATGGCTTCATATCCGTGGAAGCACACGGCGCTCACAGCCAGGAAAGGGCTCCATCACTCTCCGTTAGTGGCCCGGTCGCGTTATGATTATTTAGTGCCAGAGCTGCTGCATGTGCGCCAGCCCAGGGCCAGCACAGGGCCGTCCCGTCTGTCTGTCTGGGACGCAACCTCCCAGGCTAAGCTGGACAGAGGTGGGCAGCATCTCAGAAGCAGCCTCGCCCACCCCCCATATGAAGGAAATCAGGGCCAGGGAGGACAAGGGGCCCTAGATCAACAGCGAGGGTCAGGCTCAAGGCAGAGATGCGTCTCCACTGTGGGATTTCTAGGCCTGGGACAGGTGCTACCTTCTCTTACCACCTCCAGTCTCCCCGCTCTTCCTCCATTTGCTCAGCCAGTCATCCCAGCACTCACCGAGCCCCGTGTGCCGCCCTGACCCGGGCATTGCACATAGAAGCAGGGCCCTCTCCGACCACAGGGGCCATGCAAGAGACAAGCCAGTGTAAGCTCCAGAGCCATTCGGATCCCAATGAATACCAAGCACAAAGCAGGTAATGAAAGAGAATAGGGGTGGAGGCCAGGAAGGGCCCCCATGAGCAGAATCGTGTGAGCTGTGAGCTGAGAGCAGAGAAAGACAAGACATGGGCTGGTCCAGGGGAAGTGTTCCAGGCTTGCAAAGGCCTCAGAGTGGGAGCGAATTTAATTGATCCAGGAAAGGCCAATGGGTTGAAATTGGCTGAAATCAGTGAGCAAGGGAAAGAAACTTCCAGATGCCCTTAACCTTTGAGGCTCTTCCTCCCACTAACATTAATAATAATACAGCTCTGTCACCCTGCTAGCTGTGTGAGCCCGGTTCCTGACATGGAAATGACCATAATAGTAGTACTTGCCTCACAGGATTGTTGTGACAATAAAGCGATCCGCGAAATGACTAGAACAGGGCCTGGCACACAGTGAGAACTAATAACCATCAACTACCATTATCCCCAGGGAGCCGAGGCCCAGCAGGGAAGGCCGTGGCTGCAGCCGCACAGGCCACACCTGTGCTGCCCCTGCCTCTGCCTCTGGGATTCTGCCTCCAGTTTGCTCTTAACTCCACCCGGCTGGGACTGGGGGACCCCTTCGCTGCCCTTGCTGACGTCTGCCTCCCTTGCCTGCTGCTCCAAGGAGACAGAGCATGCTCTGTCCTCCCAGAGCCCCAGGTGTGAGTCTCCCCTGCAGCCCTGGGACGTGTCCCATGCTCTCTGCTGCCTGCGTGCTGGGCCAACCTCACAGCTGGGAGCTGGGGTCAGGCTTTTCTCACACTCTGTCTTTGGTGACAAGTGCAAAGGGCAGCTTGGGTCAGCCATGTACATTTCCCTCTCAGCAGAGGCATGCTCTCTCAGGCTACTCCCTGTCAGCGTAGGCCTCAGTTTCCCCATCAGAAAATCGAGGGGTTTGGCCACGTGGATTGAAGAGGGGTGGGAGCCCTCATATCAAATCCTGCTTGACCACCAACGCTCTGGGCAACCTTGAGCAAGTCAGTTCTCTCTTTGGGCCTCAGCTTTCTCATCTGGGAGATGGGAGCAATGTGGGTGTCCCTTCATCGCAGAGATATGGTGAGAATTAAATCGGGAAGGCGTGGGAAGCTCTCAGAGGAGGGTCAGGCAGGGACACACATTCAGTAATGGGCGCGACCCTCCAAGTCATCTTCACGGACACAGGAAATGTGCACGGACACAGGAAATGATTGCTATTTCCTCTATCTTTGGAGAAGGACATGGGCATGTTACAGGTGACAGACACCTCTGTGTTCACACCCCAGCTCTTCCCCTTCCCGGCACTCCCTCCCTTCACGGGACTTTGGGAACGGGTCTCGCCAACAGCCCAGCGCTGCTTCCCCCCCACCGCACCCCCAGCCAGGGGACAGAGGTCTACGGTGGGCCACGAGACTCGGCTCGGCTTACCTTCCTGCAGAAGCGGTGCAGGTGCAGCAGCGTCTCCAGGTCCGTGCGCTGCCGTTCGGCTGCCATGTAGAAGTGTGTCAGCCTAGCCTGGAAGGCCCGCTGCATGGAGGTGAAGGCTGCCAGCTCCGGGAACTCCGTTCCTCCTGCCTCCCCGGCGCCGCTCGCTGCAGCTCCCAGCTGGGCCGCCTGCTTGGACAGCTCCAGGCCTCGGCGGTACTGGGCCTGGGAGGGGCAAGGAGGGGCTCAGCTCCCACCTTGGTTGGGGCCTCCTTCTGAGGTCAGGAACCTCCTCTTGCCCTGCTGCTGAGTGAGGAGACTTCCTGAGCCTGTTTCCTCATCCAGAAAACACAGATGCTCATCCACCACATCCTGGTGAGGGCTTCACCTCAGCAGTTCTCTTTGCCCCGCTGGACGCCTGCCTGGGTGTCACTTCCTTCTGGAAAACTGCCCTGCCCCCAAAGTCTGGGTTCAAGGCCCCTTCTTTGAGTTCCCACAGTTCTCCCTTTCAGTCTGCTTCCCTGCTTGCCCCCCATTTTCCACTGACCCGGGATTTCCTGAGTGCCTAGACAGGCCTGGGGCCAAGACACCAAGGACATAGCTCCCTGCCCTTGCTCTGAGGGGCTGACTTAGTAAGTCTCGGGTCAGGCCCTGGAATCTGCATTTTAAGAACACCCCCCCCCCCCACCCCAGAGATTCTGAATGCTGTTTGAACTTGGTGGTCTGGGTGGAAGAGGCCTTCGTGATCCAAGCTGTCTCCTCCCTGTCTCCGGAAGGTTCCTTGCACGTCACCACCTCCGAGTCTGCCCTGGCCGTGCCACCTCCTCTGGGCCCTCTCTGCTGGCTCCCACCCTGCTCCTCCATCTCCTGGGACGCACTGCAGCCTGAAGGAAGAAGTCCTCAAAGTCCGCGTGGGCTTTCTCTGCCGCCTCCAAGCCTCCATCCTTGGGGATCAGCACCTGCAGACACCGGCTGCCCTCCTGCTCCATCCAGTCGCTGACCTGGGCGGGGGAGGCAGGCGTAAGCAGCGGCTCCCACCTCCTCAGAGTCGTTCAGGGGCGAGACCTGGGACCATGGCCTGGACCCACACTCCCAATTCCAGGCACGAGAAGGGACAACTGGGAGGGGAGAAGCAGGGCCCTGCTCTTCAAACATCCCAGGGGAGAGGACCTCCTGAGTGGGACCGAGGGTCTCTGTGCCGGCTGTACCTCACACAGTAGGCTCTCAGCACAATCTGCTGTCCGAATGCAGTCACAGGGTGGCCACCTGGTCCTAAATGGTGGGGCCACAGGGTGATGGGCTCCCTGTTGGGGTGGGGGGTGTGCAGACAGGGGCAGGGAAACGCTATGGGCTGCGAAGGAAGGTTCATGGGCCTGCTGTGGACTCACAGCATGATCCAGCCAGCCCCTTCCCCTTTCTGGGCCTCGGTTTATTCAGTGGTGTAATGGGGTAGACATAAAGATATCAGGAGGGACAGAGGTGTGAATGTCTCTCGAGTCACACATGGATGTTCCCTGCTTATTCTGGGGCATCCTAAAGAGCTCACACTAACTCACGTTATCCTCACAAAGTCCAGTGCAGCAGGCACTCATGGTATCCCCCATTCAACAGATGCGGAAACCAAGGCACTGAACAGTTGAGCAGCTTGTCCAGGGTCACGCCACTAGGAAGTGGGGGAGCCAGCCTTGGAACCCAGGCCGTATGACTCCAGGCACACCGCACTTGGTGGCCCAGGCGAGATGGGAAGCAGCCGTGCCAGGTGTGGGTTCCAGGATTGGACCCAGGCATGCAACCACCGGCACATGACCCGACATCTCCCAGCCTCAGTTTCCTCATCTGCTCAGTGGGTGAAATCCACTTCTCACATCACTGGACAAGGCTGGAAAGCAACGAGGTTCACAGACGTTCTGGCCCAGGGCCTGGCACATGATTGGCACCCAATAAGTGCAGCTCTTAGGGTTATGCCTTCACCCACGAAGCACCTACTGAGTACCATGTCACATGCCATGCCCCAAGGATGGCTGTGTGGCCCTTGAAGGCCTGCTGGCCTGGTGTCCTTCAGGCTGGGTCTGGGACCGGAGTAGGGCTTTCCCTATGGAGGCGGCAGACAGGACCACATGCCGCGGGCCAGCATCCCCTTCACCTGCTGGATGGCGGCTTCCAGGTGGCCCAGGCGGATGCGGAGCTCCAGCCTCCCCAGGAGGGCGTTGGACGCAGTGACCAGGACATGAAGCTGCTCATCCACAAGGCTGTACAGCGTGGTGGCTTCAGCCAGATGGCTCCTGGGAGGTGGAGGAGGGTGAGAGGGGCCCATGAAGCCCTCCTCAGCTGTCTCTCCTGCAACTTCTGCCCGGCATAGGCCTGCCCTCCAACCCTGGGGCCCCAGCTTGGGTTTCCAGCTAACTTGCTGTGTGACCTGGAGCAGGTCCCTGCACTTTTCTGGGCCTCAGCCTTGACCTTCCATAGGACTGGGAAGACCAGAGGACACAATAGGAAGCAAAATGACCCTACCCCTTCCCTAGGAGGACATGAAGCCAGCTGTACAGATCTGGGTCCAAACCCCATCCCTGCTACCATCTTGTTGGACATGCTGGGTAAATTTCGTGACCTTTGTGTGTCTCTATTTCATCTGTGAAGTGGGAGCAACCACAGGACCCACTTCACAAGAATGGCTGTGAGGATTAGACGGTCTAACGCCTTGGCTATCAGCCTGGCTGTGCACTAGAACCTGCCCTGGGAACCTGTTACACTGTCAACGCCCAGGTTGCATGGCAGGCCAACTGAGTCAGACGGTCTGAGTGCAACCGGGATATCAGTGCCTTTTCTTTTTTTTTTGAGTTGGATTCTCACTCTGTCACCCAGGCTGGAGGGCAGTGGCACGCTCCCGGCCACCGCAGCCTCGACCTGCTGGGCTCCGGCGATCCTTCCGCCTCAGCCTTCCAAGTAGCTGGAACTACAGGCACACGCTACAATGCCTGGCTAATTTTTTTGATTTATTGTAGAAATGAGGTTTCACCAAGTTGCCCAGGCGGGTCTCGAATCCACATGCTCAGGCAAGCCACTCACCTCGGCCTCCCAAAGTGCAGGGATTACAGGCCGAGCCACCGAGCCTGGCTATGTCGGTGCTCTCTAAAGCACCTCAGGCAGCTCCGGGGACAGCCAGGGCTAAGCCTCGTGTGTGCAAAACCTGTCACAGGTTCAGCGCAGGACGCACGTCAGCACTTCCTATTCCTGATGAGCTGCCACACGGCCCTCCTCCCGCTCTCCATTCTACAGATGGGAAAACTGAGGGTCAGAGAGGTGACATGACTCACAGATGGCCGTCTGAGTGGGAGTCCAGCCCAGGATGCTTCTGCCCACAATTGTTAAAAACTGGTCAAAACCACAAGACACAAAAGAAGGGGCGTGGACGGGACTCCGTGCATGGCACACTCGCACGAAGGGGGGACTCTCATATCCCACCCGGCCCCTCTGCCCTAGAGGGTCTCACTGCAGAAGGAAAATGAAAAAGACGGGCGAAGGCGCTTTCCCAGAGGAGCCTCGCTGCCGGGGTCTGCCCCGCTGGCGGCAGCTCCTCATTGCTGCCACCCTTCCAGGGGCGGTGAGGGCCCAGGGTGCGTGAGCGGGGCCAAAAGTGCCAGCCAGTCTGTGACGAGGGGCGGACGGAGGGGCGGTCTGGGGCTGCAGGGACCCTCTCAGAACTAACAGCAGCGGCTCGCGTGGGACCACAGTGCCCCCTGGTGGAGCTGCCGGCAGCTGAGGGTCTGGGGGCCTAAGGAAGACTGGAGTGACTTGGGCCCGCAGGGGAGGCCCTGGGAAAGGGTGCCAGCCCCCCCAGGTCCTGCATGGGGAGATGTGCCCAGACAGCTGCTGCCGGCGCACCCACCCATGTGAACCTGCCTTTGATATGGTGGTGCAGCGTGGGGTGGCCTGCTCAAGAGCCCAGGGTTGGTTGGCCTGGACTCAAGTTCGCTTGCCACATCCCAGCTGTGTGACCTCGGGCTAGTCACTCACCCTCTCTGACTCTTCCACTGTGAAATAAGGAGGACACCAGGACCCACCTCAGGCGTGAGAGTTAATGAGGTAGTAGTTGAACAGTCCTTAGGACAATGCTATGCACACACTGTGTGCTGCTGAGGTGCTGGTTGCATCAGCGAGTGTTTGGCCTAGGCGGGCTTTGCACTTGACTCCTGAGTGCAAGTAACCGTGTTCCAACAGATAAAATCCTTCCAGTTATGGACCCATGCAACCAACGCTCCTCTGGTCCCCACGCTCCAGAATGCCAGTGCTTCCAGGAAAGCACACCATTTCTTCTGGCTCTGAGACCCCTGATGCGCCACAAAGCCTCCCAGGGGCATCTGAGTAGCCTCCTGGAGGGCAGGCCGTGGAGGGCTGAAGGGCTCAGATGGCCTGGCTGCAAGTCCCAGCTGCTGCTTCGGCCATTTCCTGTCGCTGAGCCTGGCACCCAGCAGCCATGAGCACGATTCTTGCCAGGGAGAAATAGCAGAGGCCTTTGAAGGGGCCTACTCCTGCGTCTGGGTCAGGGAAAGTGCTCAGCCCGTGAGGTGGGCCAGAAATGGGGAGGGATGTCCTCTGATGTCCACGCCAGGCCACACAGGGCCAGGGCCGAAGGAGGGGCAACTGAGGCGGGTCGAGGAACTTGCCAAGGCCCAGGATGGGCGCCTGCAACCTCAGCCCAGGACAGGGCCTTGCAGACGCCAGGACGCCAGGCCTCCACAGGGCTCACCCTGTGTTCCCTCAGCAGGTGACCCCAGACCTGGACTCCCGGGACAGGGGTTGGGGGAGAGAAAAGGCCAGGATGCCCATACCTGACGTCAGGGTTGAAATCCAGTCTGCTGGCCTCGCGCTGCAGCCTGGCCAGGGTGGCGCCACCTTCCCGCTGGAGGCCCAGCAAGCCCGGGTCCCTCAGCACCACCTCCATCAGCTCTTTGGACTTGCTCAGACACCTGGTGGCCTCCTGCCAGGGCAGGGAGGTGCCCTGAGACCCCATCTCCATTCCCCCTCTGCAGCGTTCCAAGGCTCCTCACACCCAGCCAAGCCCGACTTGCCCAGTTTTGCATTCAAGGTCCTCCAGAAAGTCGGCCTGCCTTTTCTATCTCTGAAGCATCGCCTCAAGCCACGCCCCCTCGCATCACCGTGGCAACCGGAGGGCTCCAGGCTCCACCCTCCCTGACACCCCTCCCCGCTGATCTCCCTGCTGCCCTCTGGCTCCCCCTACAGTCTGCTCTCCACATGGTGGCCGGCCGGATCTCCAAGTCCTGGGCCGGGCAGGTGAGGCGGGGACAGTCTGGGACAGGGTGCCAGCCCCCGCAGGCCCTGCAGGGCGAGATGTGCCCAGACCGCTGCTGCCGGCGCACCCACCCATGTGAACCTGCCCTTGAGTATGGCGGTGCAGCGTGGGTGGCCTGGGCTCAAGTCCCCCCGCCACTGTACAAATCCAATCATCCCCGACCCCCAGGCTTCTTGCTGCTTAGACTCGAATCCCACCCCAGCTTCATCGGCCCCTGCTGGATCCAGAAGACCCTCCAGTGCTTCTCTCCTTCCCCTTCCCTCCCACTTTCCCTGCTCCACATTGGCATCCTTGCTGTTCCTGAACATCCTAAGCACCGCTGCACGGGTTTGCCTTCTGCCTAGAGCCCAGTCTGGCTTCTTCTCTGGCCTCCACTTCAATGCCACCTCTTCTGAGAGGCCCTCCCTCCTTCTCATTGTTCTCGATCTTACTTTCATGGCATGTGGCACAATCTGTAACCACATATCTGTTGCTCCATTTCCTTTTTTTTTTTGAGTTGGAGTCTCACTCTGTGTCACCCAGACTGAAGTGCAGCGGCCGCTCCCAGCCACTGCAGCCTCGACCTGCTGGGCTCCGGCGATCCTTCCGCCTCAGCCTTCTGAGTAGCCGGAATTATAGGCATGCGCTGCCACGCCCGGCTGATTTTTGATTTATTGTAGGGATGAGGTCTCGCCAACTTGCCCAGGTGGGTCTCAAACCCGCGGGCTCAGGCAATCCACTCACACTCTGTTTCCTTTTTAAAGGATCACTTCTGCCACTGCACCGTGAGTCCTGACAGAGCAGGGACAGCTAGGTTTGCCCCAGGTTGGCCTCCAGTACAGGACACGCAGTGGGTGCTCCCCAAATGTCAGCCAAACGAAGGAGTGAAAAACAGAGATGATAATCTCCCTCCCTCCCCAGCCATGGCCTTGGTCCCTGGAGCCGGGGGTGTGTGTGGCTTCCCAGCCCATGCTCCTGCTCACCTGCATGTCTCCAGTGGGGGTGGCCTTCTCGAACTCCTCGATAGAGGCCTGTAGCAGGGAGGAGGCCTGGCGAAGGTCAGCAAGGAAAGGGTCCAACCTCTGCAGGACAGAAGGCCCGAGGGGGGTGTCAGCCTGGGCCAGGGGAGGCAATGCCTCCCCTACCCCAGGGGGACATGAGGAGATGTTAGGCAGGGGTTCTCTGACTCCAGCTGCATCAAAGTCATCCGGAGAGCTGGGGAAAATGCAGACTTCCAGTTCTACTCCCGAGCTGCTGATTCAGTTAGGAGAGGACTGAGAATGTGCACCTCTACCTAGCTCCCAGGCGTTGCTGATGCCTCTGGCCTGTGGGATCACACTTTGGGAACCACTGGTGTTGATGATAAGAGAGGGAGGAGAAAGAAGACTGGCCTGAGCTACACCCCGAGGAAGGGAGGGGAGAGGGCACTTCGGCTCTGCTCCATCACTTGCAAGCTGTGTGATCTGGGCAAGTTGCTCAACCTCCCTCTGCCTCTGCTTCCTCCTCTGTCAAATGGGTGTGTCAGTGGTTCCTGCCGTCAGGGGTGGCGTGAAATTAACCTGCAAGGCATTTAGAAGAGAGCCTGGCATGTGCTATTAGTTGTCCTCGAATCAACTTCATGATCTGGGCTTGTAGGTAAGAGTTCATTGAATGGAAAGGCTTTAAAGCACACATGGAGTTCAAAAGCCATTGGGTTGACGGGGGCCTCTGGAGGGGGAGTGAGAAGGCGGAGACTGGCAGGAAAGGTTTCACAGTACACCCCTTTTTGTACTGCTCGGCATTCAGTATACCAACTATTCAAAAACACAGTTCTTTTGAGCCAGGGTCTCCCTCCATCACCCAGGCTGGAGTGCAGTGGCACAATCACAGTTCACTGCAGCCTCGGCCTCCTGGGTTCAGGCAATTCTCCTGCCTTGGCCTCTTGAGTAGCTGGGACTACAGAAGCATGCCACCATGCCTGACTAATTTTTAAAAAAAAAATTTTGTAGAGAAAGGGTCTCGCTACTTTGCCCAGGCTGGTTTCTAACTCCTGGGCTCAAGCAATCCTCCCGCCTCGGCCTCTGAAAGTGCTGGGATCACAGACATGAAACACCGCACCTGCCCAGAAACATACAATTTTAAAAAGATCACCTAAGCAAAAAAGCAAATAAACGACCACTTTAGATGCTAGTATAGACGAATTGGTCTCGATGAGGGGTTACTTTGCCCCCAGGGACGTTTGGTGGTGCTGGGAGACATCTTTGGTTGCCATGGTTTGTGGGGTGCTACCATCATAGGGTGGGTAGAGGCCACATAGCTAACTGTGTTCCAATGTACAGGACAGCTTCCCACGACTTACCAGCCTCCGGTGGGAACAGGCTGAGGCTGAGCAACCCTGCTTTAGAGAACCCAGGACAGCACTTACAGGAGAGTGCTGTTGTGCACATTATCCCGTCCTGTGTGTTAACTGGGCTTGAAATGCCCCCTCGCAGGGTTGTGGTGAGAAGGGATTGCGACCCTCTGCCCCAGGAAAGGAGCCTGGACCTGGCGGTCTCCTCATTTCCTCCCTCTTATAGGAGGGAGCACATCTGCCTCCCCATCAGACCCTGAGCTCCCTGAGTCATGCAGGTCCACACAGCAGATGCTTATACGTTTATTTTCAGTTCACATAGACATAGCACGTGCCAAACACTCGTCTAACCTCTTCATCTACTGTAACTCAATCCTCACAAAAGCCCCATGAGGAGATACTATTATTACCCTGCATTTTGCTGAGGAGGAAACTAAGGTTCAGAGAAGGCAAGTATCTTACCCAAGGTCACCCAGCAGAGCCGGGACTGGAGCCCAGGTAGTCTGGCTCCAGAGCCCAAGCTCTTAATTGTTCTACTTTGTACCTTCATTGTAAATGTTTGTTGAATGACTGAACCTGACAGGGGTGATGGATCCATGGGGCAGAACAGTGAAGAGAGGAAGAGAAGGAGTGAGGGTTGGGGCCAAAGGCTGTGACTGTAGTAGACACCTGGAAGAAGTGCACCCACTCGCTGTGGCAGTAGGGGAAGGGGCCTTCCAGGGCTGTGGGCAGCTGGCCAGGGTCCACATGATGGCTGAGGGCCCTCAGCGAGGTCAGCACTTCCACCTGTAGACAGAAGAAGTGACTCAGTGGGTGACAGATGTTTGAGAAGGTCCTGCCCAGACCCCAGCTCCAGTCCACCTCCCACAGGTAATGCTGGCTGTGGCTTTAAGAGCTGTTTTATGGACAAACAATCTTCTCTGGGATTCTGACAAATCAAAATTCAGAACCACATACTGGTTAAGGAATGGCAAATAAATAGCACTCATACGGCCACACTCCAAGCCTGTGCCCAAGGCAGACATCATGAATCAATCACAGCACTTGTTCCCTCTGAGTATGGCTTTTTCCCAGCACAGCTCTCCAGGCAATCACACAAACCGATTGAAGCTGGCGTTGTGATGAAACTTCCTCGTAATCCCTGCAGGTCTCTAGTGACCCGCCAAGGGCTGATGAGAAAAGCCACCAAATTCTAACCGTGTCCCCTGAGACACGGAAGAGGGACCAGGTGACTGCTTCTCCCAGGCCATGACGTTTGAGGGTGATGTTGGAACAGCTCCGAGTACCGAGGCTGGGGATTTCTGGACCCATCCCTGCTCCTCAAAGGGTAACCCATGGGCCCGCAGACCAGCATCACCTAGGGGCATGTGAGAAATGCAGAATCCCAGGCCCCTTCCAGGTCTACCTAACTGGAACCAGCACTTTGACAAGCTCCTCAAGACATTCATGGGCCTGTTAAGGCAGGCCCATCCCTGGCTCACAGCATGCCTCTACTAACCAGAAGCAAGAAGACTTTTTATTTTATTTTATTGTCTATTATTCTTATTTTCTTTGAGTTGGGGTCTGTTGCCCAGGCTGGCGTGCAGTGGCCACAAGGCCCACTGCAGTCTTGACCTCCTGGGCTCAGGTGATCCTTCCACCTGAGCTGGGACTACAGGTGCACACTGCCATGCCCAGCTAATTTTTTTTTAATTTGTTGTAGGTCTTGCCTAGGCTGGTCTCGAACTCCTGGGCTCACGTAATCCTCTCGCCCTGGTCTCCCACTGTGCAGGGAGGGACCACAGGCTTGAGCTACCACCTGGTGGTGAAACCTTTTAAAGCACTTTGTGAAGTGGGGCAGCGGCGGGGGTGCCCACGCACGCCCATTGTGGTGTATAACGCATCTGTATTGATTAGGGAAGATTAATGTAGGAAGAGCAGCTCGGGCCGCCGTGTGGAAAAGGCGCCAGGCTGTGAGTCAAGAGGCTACAGCTCAGTTTCCCTGTCTGAAAAGAAAGCGGGGAGGAACTGACTGGATGGAGCTTTTCAAATAGGCCTCTTGCCATCAACTCTGCTGACACGGCAGAGCCTATCGGGAGACGTGGGCTTGGGGAAGAAACCTCTCTGCAGCTGACAAGACAGCACCTGCATGGAGCTGGCCTGGGCGTCCTAGCGCGGGCCCCATGTTCGCTACCCCATCCCAGGTTATTTCAAGGCCTCTTCCAAGGCCTCTTCCGGCATGGGAATTCTGCAATTCTTTTTTTTTAAATAGACTCTATTTCTAGAGCATTTGTAGTTTTACAGAAATTATCGGTAGTTCCTTTATATCCACTCCCCACATACATTTTCTCCTATTATTAATATCTGATTCGAATAAATTATTATCAGCTAAAGTCTGTATTTCTTTTTTTATTTTATTTTTTTAAGCCAGAGTCTCACTCTGTCACCCAGGCTGGAGTGCAGTGGCATGATCATGGCTCTCATAGTCTCAACCTCATGGCTTCAGGTGAGCCTTCTGCCTCAGCCTTCCAAGTAGCTGGGACTACAAGCACAAGCCACCACTCCTGGCTAATTTTTTTATTTTTTTGTAGAGGCGAGGTCTTGCTATGTTGCCCAGGCTGGTCTCGAACTCCTGGCCTCAAGCCATCCTCTTGCATTGGCCTCCCAAAGTGCTGGAATTACAAGCATGAACCACTGGGTCCAGGCTAACATCTATATTTATATCAGGGTGCACTCTTTGTGTTGTACAGTGCTATGGATTTTATTTTTATTTTTTAATTTTTTAAAAGTGTGGACTCAAGGGGTGTGTGTGCAGGTCTGTTACAGGAGCATATTGCACGGTGGTGAGGTCTGGGCTTCCACAGAGTCCATCACCCAAGCAGTGAGCATGGTACCTGGGAGGTGATTTTTCACCCCTCGCCCCCCTTGGGGTTGTCCCCTGTGTCTGTTGTTCCCACCCTTGTGCCCGGGTGTGCCCAGAATTCTGCAATTCTGCCCCTTCACCCCAGCTCAGCCCCAGTCCATCCACGACCTCCTCGGCTACCCCCTCACCTGGGCATCGGGCAGTGCCTTGAGCTGGACAGCAGCCTCCTTCTCCCCCAGGAAGAGGACAGCCTGGATGGCGGCCGGGACCCGGGCCTGCGGAGAGGACCCCCGAGAGCTGCTCAGCCCAAGCCTCACTGAGCTCCCCCCATTCTTTCCTCCTCTCTCCCTGCCAAGATGCAGGCAGATGGGCACAGGCACAGGGCAAGGTCCCCCACGGCCAGGACCTTCGTGGGACGTTTGGACAGTGAATCACCAGAGCCAAGAGAGCAGCAGAGTCACATACCGTTGCACAGCTTCCCATATGCCCCGCCCCTCCGAGCCTCAGTTTCCCCATCTACAAAGTGAGGGGTCAGACCATGAGCACAGGCCACGCCCCCAGTCACTCCACTGCCCGTAGCGGCTGGACAGGACTCTCCTTCCGCCTCCCCTTCCAGGTCGTGAGGTTGAAGGATCTCAGTCTCAGCCATCATGAGTGCCACGCCCCTGGCCTCAGGGGTTGCAAGGTGAACGGACATCCGAACCATCCAAACCATCAGGACAGGTGGTTCCACAGAGAAACTTCTGCCGGGACCTCTGCTAAAATAGTCTCTCTTTGCTACTGGTTTACAGGGGAGACCACACGAGGTCCGAGCTGCTGGGAGCCATGCAGCCACCAGGGGTGGCACCCTCAGGGGACCCTCGGGGGACCCTCGGGGGAATGGAGAAGACTTGAAGGCAGAAGCTCCCACCTCCTGCTCACCTGGGTGGCCTGCAGGGCGCTGACTAGGCCAGGCTGAGGGGGCTGCTTCCGGGCATCAATCAGGACCGCTAGCCCCTTGGCTTTATCTTCAGATCTGTGGGTGGGAAACAGAACTGGCAGGCTCGCCCGATGGCCTGAGCTCTCCAAGGGAAAAGACCTGGTGGAAGGTGAAGGAAACTGGCTGCCAGAAGCCTTGATTTATTGGTGAACTCTGAACTCTCCCTTCTGCAAGACAAAGTTCCAATGCCCCCTCCAGGAAGCCCTCCATGATTCCTCCTCAGGCAGAGCCGCTGCTTCTTCTTTGGTGCTCCTGCAATGCCTCACACAGCCCTCACCTACAGCCCTAATATTCCTATCGCCACTAGCCCAGGTGCAGGGGGCGAGTCCCCGGCACCCACCCATCCCTTTTGTGTAGGCAGAATCCCCGTCTTGTTCAAGAATCCAACTCCCTCCAGAAAGCTATGTGCCCCCAAGGAGCTGGTTTCTGACTGGCTGAGGCCAACAGGGAAAACACAAAAATCCCCTGGCCAATGATTAGTTTAGATGGGGGTCATGTGATCTATTTCTGGCCAATGAGATGTGGGGGGCTTCTGAGAAAGACTCCTTTAAAAAGTTCTTGCAAAGAGATATAACATTTCCTTATCTGACAAAACATTTTGAGTGGGAATTTGTTACTTGTGACCAGAACTCCCGCACTGCTTTAGCCACAGTGCACGGAGCTTACAGTGGCCACTTTTCATTGATGACCTTAGGACTCCCCAAACTGGCCCAATTGTCAAAACTTGTTAAAATACGATTCCTCACCACCTGGCCACCCCCACTCCCCTGCAGACATCCGGCCAGCAGGGACAGGGTGGGGCTGAGGAATCTGTGTGGTTCTAAGCACCTCCGGCCAGTCTGATGATCAGGCAGGAAAATAACCCCCAACTGCCTTGAAGCCTTACAGTCACCCAGTTCACAGACAACACCAGAGCTGGCCCAGCGTGGGGTGGGGCTGTGGCACTGCCATTAGTATCTTGTGGCCTGGAGAAGCTATTTCACCTCTCGGAGTCAATTTAATGATAATAGTACCAGCCTTATGGTGAGGACTGATGAATTCATCACTGTGAACACTCAGAAGGCCAGGTGCGGTGGCTCACGCCCGCAATCCCAGCACTTTGGGAGGCTGAGGCAGGAGGATCGCTTGAGCCCAGGAGTTCAAGACCAGCCTGGGCAACATAGTGAGACCTCTCATCTATAAAAAAAAATAAAAAAGATTAGCCAGGCGTGCTGGTGTGCACCTGTAGTTCTAGCTACTTGTGAAGCTGAGGCAGAAGGCTCATCTGAACCCAGGAGGTGGAGGCTGTAGTGAGCTGTAATCATGCCACTGTACTCCAGCCTGGGCAACAGAGTGAGACCCTGGCTCAAAAACAAACAAACAAACAAAAAACTCAACTGCACAGAGTCAGGGAGATGCAAATGTTTGCTATTACTGCTATCCTAGAGGGGGAAACTGAGGCACAGTGAGAGGCGGCTCCAGGAGGTGACAGCAGGTCTCTGACATTTTGTCCTCACCGGCCTCTGCCTATGCCTGGGCTGGAATAGTGATCTGTTTTCAAACCTGTCTCTGCCACCGGCCTGGAGTCCCTCAAAGGCAGGGCCGAATGTGAGGGCCTCTGGGTCCCCAGCACCACGAAGCAGGAAGCCAGGTCCAGGGCAGCCGCTCAGTCAGTGTTTGTCAGAGCACAAACCCAGCACGCAAGATCCGAGCGTGTCCCATGCGCCACAGCTGACACCGCCCTCATCCCTGCCACTGTAACCCCACGTGGCCCTCAGAGCCCATGGGGTCAGCCCCTTGGTTTCAAGTGAGCCTCAGAGAGGGAGGTGACTGCCCTGAGGTCACACAGCAAGTCAGGATTCCAGGGCTGTGTCTATATGTGAGTCACTTCCAGCACAGGAAAAGAGGGTCCCATCTCCCCCTCATGCCAGAAAAGCCACCCCACCCGGGACAAGAGGGAGGAGAGTCTCAGTAGCCAGCAAGTGGCAGGGATGGCTCCGGGGGCAGGGGTGATGAAGGTTCCAAAGCGTTCCCTCAGCCCTCGCCCTCCCCCACCCCTCTACCCATCAGCAGACCCCTAGGTTTGGTTGGGGCCTATTAGTCACAGTCACAGCTACACCCACTCTGAGACTGCCCTGGCTGGGGGTGAGGTTTGAGGAAAAGATGGTGCCTCTTCCTCAGGTAGTTCAACCTCGAGTCTGACTGGTGTTAGACGTCAGCCTCGTTCTTTCACTTATTCATTTATTCACCCATTCAGCCTTCCCTTCATCTATTCAACAAATATCTATAATTCAGATGATGGCTCAATTATCACCACTTCAAGGAAGTCTTCCCAGATTTCTCGATTGAAATTCCCACCCCCAACACACACCCTTCCCACGCTGCAACAGTGGTTCTCAAAGTGTGGTCCTGGGCCCGCATCAGTAACACAAGGAAACTTGTAGAAATGCAAACTGTCAGGCCCCACTTGCCCCAGACCCACTAAATTGCAAAATCTGGGGCTGGAGCCTGGAGCTCTGTTTTAACGGCCCCAGGTGATGCTAAGGCCACTCAGGTCTCCACAGTCCACTTTTCCTCACCCAGCAGCACTCCAAAGGCAACTCGCCGGGGCCTGCTTCCTGCACCTGTCCATCTCCTGTGTGCTGGCCTGAGACTCCCCAAGAGGGAGCCAGTGGGCCCGGCCATCCCCCAGCTCCTGATGGGGACTGGCTCTGTGACACGCCGGAGGGAGGGGCAGCACCTCCTCCCACCCGTGCCTGCTGGAGCCTGCTCAGGCTGCCTCAAGAGGGCTGTGGGGGTGGGCGGTGAGGGCGGCTCAGCCCTACCTGGCCACGGTGCACAGGTAGCAGAGCAGCGAAGTGACCTCTGAGGCTGTGCACCAGGGTGCGTCCCAGGCCCCCTCTGTCGTGGACACCAGAAGCAGGGGCCGCCCAGCCCTGTCCCGGCCGCCTGGAAGGGAGAGGGCACGCGTGAGCAGTGAGGAACCTCCTCAGTGGCCTTCAGGCCTTCACCCCTAACGGTCCCTTTGCTGGGGACGCCCTTTCTCTCCTGAGAACTCTGAAAGCTCACTTGTCCTTCAAAAGCTGCCTCCCGAGAAAAGTCTCCCCTGTGTCTCTCCTGGTGCAGGTGTGGCCTCCCCGCCCCTGGCCTTCCCCTGTGGAGGATGCCCTGGGAGGCCAAGTTCATGCACCAAGCTCTGGGGATTCAAGAGCCTGCTGCACACTGACTCACTCTGTGTCAGTGGGCAAGTCCGTGTGTCTCTGAGCCTCAGTTTCCTCATCCGTCGAATGGAGGGAATCATACAATGAACGTATCAGATTATTTCGAGGATTAAATCAGACTGCTCCTGAGAAGCACTTGTCACGGGGCAAGAGCCCAGGGAATGCTGGCTGCTAAATGACCGTCCTTCCTGGTCCCGTCTCCCGCCCACGGCATGGTGAGGATGCAGCCCATGGCCGCCAGCGCACTGTTTATTCTTGTAGACTTTCAGCCTTGGGTTCTTGACAGGCTGTTTCCTGTTCCAGGAATCTGGGCTGTGTGCCCCATGCTCCTCACGGGGGTCAGGAGGCCAAGGCCTGGGAGCCAGCACAGCCATGTGTGCTGGGAAGGGAGGAAAGGACAGCTGGAAGGGGAGGTAGTGCCTGTCCTGCAGCTGGACCGGAGGCTGCACTCTAGTCAGCTCACTGAGGGCTACCCTACAGGGACCACCACCCACTCCACGTGGCACAACCTCCACAGCGGGCGAGGCCCTTCACAGCTCACAAGGCCTCGGGCAGACTCAACCACCTTCCTAAGGCTGCGTACATGGGTCCAACCCCCCCAGAGCATTCTCTCTCTTCACACTGGTCTTAAAATTCGACATAATCTGGGCTGGGCACAGTGGCTCCTGCCCATAATCCCAGCACTTTGAGAGGCTGAGATGGGAGGATCGCTTGAGCCCAGGAGTTTCACACCAACCTGGGCAACACCACGAGACTTCATCTCTACAAAAAATCAAAAGGTAGCCAGGCATGGGAGCACTCACCTGTAGTCCCAGCTACTCGGGAGGCTGAGGCTGAGGGAGTGCCTAAGCCCACAATGTCGAGGCTGCCGTGAGCCGAGGCTGTATCACTGCACTCCAGCCTGAGCGACAGAGTGAGACCCTGACTCAAAAAAATAATAAATCGACACACACATATATGAAAACTTTATATCCTCTTGATATTATGGGTTTGATTTTTTTCCCTAATATTCATTTACAAATTTTAAATTTGGGGGAATTTTTTGGAGGGGAATGACAGGGGAGAGCTGAGTATCAATTGGGTCCTGACTGGCAGGAGGGAATGCGGTTGGTTTTGTTGTGTGTGCTGATGTGACTGCTGGGGACCGTGCTGAAGTATTTAGGGTCAACCACGGAGACCTAGAATTTATTTTAAAATCCTTCAGAAAAGAAAGATGATGCATGCCAAAATGCTAAGATGTATTCAACCTGGGTAATGGGTACATGGGTGTTCGGGATACTATTTGCTCTATTTTTCTGTATGTTTGAAAAATGTCATAATATAAAGTCCCAAAAAGGTGAAATACTTAAACCATGAAAACTGCATCACTTGCAAAGTCAGGGATGCAGGCCAAGGTCCCTCCAAAATCCCATTGCAGCCATTGGATCCCTCAGGTCAAGGAGTGCTACATCATGTCCCTGGGCCCACTTTGTTGATCCGGAAACTGAGGCCTGGAAAGGGGAAGCGACTTCCCGGTCTCCCACAGGCCCAGGCCCTCAGCCTCTCTGCGTGGGGGAGGATCCGTGCCCAATTCACACTTTGACCCTGGGCCACACCAAGAGACGAGCTTTTGTCTGCTGTAAATCTGATGACTGGCGCTCAGTTGCAGCCAGTGGGGCCTCTCTCCTGCTCTACAACCTTTCCATGGCTCCTCATGGATGACAGTGCAAGCTTCTTGGCCTGGTTCTGAAGCTTCCCAGGCTCTGCACACGCTTCCAGCCTCATTCATACACAATGTGTTACAGGCTGAGTCCCATCCCTGCCCTCCACTTCCAAACTCATAGATGAACCCCCAGTGCCTCAGAACGTGGTTGTATTTGGAGATAGGGTCTTTGAAGGGTTAATTGAGTAAAAGAGGGTCATTTAGGTGATCCTGAATATGATTGGCAGGTGCCTTTACAAGAAGAGGAAACTTGAACACAGAGGGAAGACCACGTGAAGACACAAGGGGAAGATGGCCGTCCGCAAGCCATGGAGAGAGGCCTCTGAAGAAACCAAACCTGCCAACACCTTGATCTTGGAATTCCAGCCTCCAGAACAGTGAGCAAATGAATTTCTGTTGTCTAAGCCCTCCAGCCTGTGACAGTTTGTTATGACAGCCCTGGGACACCAATGCCTCATGCCTCCCCTTGGCACCAATGACAGATGGCACCTCCCAACTTTGTTTACCCTATTCCTTCTCCTCTCTCCAGCTGGGGAAATCCCCCTCATCTTTCAAAGACCAGCCAGGGTGCCGCCTCCTCCAGGAAGAAGACATCCTCACCCCCTGCCCTCCTTAGAAGCCCTCTCACCCTGGGTTTTCCATGAGCTCCTGCAAGCCCGAGAGCTCCTTGGGGCGTGCATTGGGTCCAACTCTTTGCTGCACCAAGTGCTCAGCACCAGGCGGGGTCAGACCATCAATGTCTGTGGTTGCTTCATGGATGGAGGGTCAGAGCAATGCCTCTCCAACTGCAGTGGGCCTGGGAACCTTGCTGGAAAGAAGGGCTGGGTCAGCAGGCCTGAGGCTTTGTGTCTCTCCTCCGCTACAAGGTGATCTGACATCGGTGGTCCCTAGGCCACACACGGAGCAGCAAAGGCTTCAAGTACTCAGGACATTCCACAGTGGGACACCGTGGCCATGCAATGAGGTCATGGGCCTGCCTCCCCACCAAACTCTGCCTGGAATGGGCCCTGCACATGGTCAGTGCTGGCCGGGCTGACTAGGGGTAGGGGCCAGTGTCCACCTAGCTAAAGACTAGGCCAGGGAGGCCCCTTTGCCCCAAACATTGCTCTCAGCTGGCAGCTGGCGCCAGAAATACCAACATGAGCCCCTAAGAGCTTGAGAGAGACACACATTATGAGTCTCAGGGGGAAACGGAACGGGCAGGTTGGGCAGTGGCTGGGTGGGGGTTCCCCAAAGCCACTGAAAAGTTTGTTTCTCCTGCCAGTAACACTGAATTCACTCCAAGTTTGGGGAGAATGGGAAGTAATTTAATTTGCAAGCAATTAAAAGCCATTTTTCATACCGAAACAAGTGAGAATGTATTCTTAAAGTAGAATATAAAATGTGTAGGAATTGTAAAGACAAAAAATATTTCAAAGCTCAGGGTGAGGTCCCAACTCTGGGGACCCTGTTCACTCCCTTCTGCAGGGGGAATTTTTCGGTAAAAAGCCTGAGAAGCCCTCTCCAAGGCGTGGTCCCTCTCCAAGGCGTGGAAGGCAGGTGTGGCCCAAAGATGCCCAGGCCTGAGGGCCCAGAACCTTGACTGTGTCACCCTCTGGGGCAAAGGGGCCTCTGCAGATGAGAGCGAGGGTGGGCCTCGGGGTGGGGAGATGACTCTGGGCCGTCCAGTCTGATCACAGGACTCCTTAGAAGCAGAGTGCTTCTCCTGGCTCTATTCAAGATGTCAAGGCACATGGAGGGTCAGGTTGGCCTTGAAGATGGAGAAGGGCTCACAAGCCAAGGAGAGGAGACAGTTGCTGGAAGCTGGAAAGGGGGAACAGAGTTTCCCTAGAGCCTCTGGGAAAGGATGCAGCCCTGTCCTCACCCCGATTCTAGACCAGCAGGACCCAAGATCCGAAACCTGAGACCCCTGTCAGGCTTCCAGACTCCAGAACTGTAAGATAATACACGTGTGCTGTTGTAGCCACTGAGCTCGGGGTAACGTGTCATAGCCACGATAGGAAAGGAGCACGGCGCCTATCCCACACCAGCCTACCCAGCACAGGAGCAGTCACATGTGCCTCGGTGTGGTCACTCTTTCTGAGGACGGAGCTTCACGGGCAGTTTGGGGAGAAGGAAGGAGCCCAGGAGAGAAAGATGACGGGTCTGAAGAGGAGAGACAGATGCCAGCTTCACGGGGCTGGCCTGATGCTGACTGTGGTCTTAGGGCACAGACCTGGGGACTGTCTGGCTACAAGGGAACTCCAGCAGAGGTGAAGGTGGAAGCAGGGAGACCAGCGAGGCGCCCACAGCGCAGGCCAGAGGCCATGAAGGTTGGACATGGTGGGGGAAGCCATCAGATCCCTGACGTGACTCTGGAAGAGCTGACAGGAGCCACCAGCACTGAGTGTGGATGGAAGAGAAAGAGCAGTCGAGGATGGAGTTGCCATCTTTGGTTGTCCTCAGAAAGGACTAGGAGGTTCACCGGGTGGATGTGAAATCAGGAGTCCATATTTGGACGCACTAATTTAGAGATGTCTGTGAGACACCCTGGCAGAGACACCTGGGTAAAGAGTTGGGTGAACAAGGCTAGAAGCCCTGGTGTCCAGACTGGAAAGACCAGTGTGGAGTTGTCAGTGCAGCGACAGCATTTCAACAGCTAGCCCACCTCCCAGACGAGGTCACCCAGGGAGTGAGTAGAGGGAGAGGAGGAGGGGACGAGGACTGAGCTGGGCTGGGGGGTGGGGGGCAGCCAAGGAAGCTGAGACAAGCAGGGTGGCGAGGAAGACCCAACAGCAGGCACAGACAGCCGCTCAAGGGAGGCGTGGCCTCGGTGCCCAGCGCTGCTGGAGGGTCAAGGGCAATAAGAACAGGAAACTCACCACAGGACCTAGAAACAGGGAAGGCAACCTGGCAAGACCTGTCCCACAGCATGGTGCGGAGGGAACTGTGACTAGAGGGGTGGAAGAGAGGAGAGGCAAGCAGGAGAGAGGTGGAATCCAGGCTGCCCTCTGTGAGTGTCCACAGACAGGTGGAGGAGAGTGGTGTGTGGAGCTGGGGTGGGCCACCCCCAGCTTGGGCACCCCAAGCTGGTCGATGGGAATAGCCAGTGCAGAAGGGGAAGGGGAGGCCCTTGCTGGAGGAGTGTGGCTGAGCAAGCAGGACCCAGGCACGGTTCAGGATCAGCCTGCCGGACGCCTCAGCAGAATGCACAGGAGAGTGTTGGGCATGTGCAGATACCGGCAGATGGGTGAATATGGTTTCTTGGGGGGGTAGCTCGCTGCTTCTGCTTACTCAACTGGACCAGAGGGCGGATCATCAGCTGAGGGCACAGTGGGGGAAGATGGCGCTGAAGGTCAGAAGAGAGAGAAGGTGTGAAGTTCCCTCGGGACTCCACAGGGACCCCTGGAAGTCAGTGGTCAGGAATCGAACTCACCACCCGTCGCCATGGTGTACGTTTTTGCATATTGGCTCAGCTTGAGGGTACAGGGAACCAGACGGAGAGGTGACTTCACGGAGGTGGGGATTTCTCCAGGTGAGCGTGAGGTAGGAGAGAGAGGCAAGAGTGACAGTGTTTGAAAGGAAGGGTGAGAAGGTGAGCCTGGAGGATGGGAGACAGGCAGGGGGAGGGGAGGGAGAGGTGGCTGGCTCAGCAGGCTGAACGCGCCGGGATGAAGAGAGGCAGTGGCAGGGAAGGACCAGGAGCCCTGACAGGGAAACCAGGGGAGCAGGGGCTGTGGGGACACCACGGGAGGAGTGACCTGGGGAGTGACAACAAGATCACCAGAGGAGAGGAAAAAGGGAACAGAAAGCGGAGCGGAAGGAGCAGCCATGTGGACCCTGTTCATTCACTCAACAAACGCCCTGGGAGTATAGTCATGTGCTGGCACTTGGGGCCCTCAGTGCATGTTGCAGCCCCAAGAATTTCCAGGGTAACTGTGGCAAGAGTGACGGTGAGCCTGGCCCTGTCTGCCTGCTCTCTTCTTACCCAAGGGGGAGCCTGAGGCCCAGAAAGGGTGAGTGACTTCAAGGTCAGACAGGGAGCTGAAGACAGAGCTGGAACTCACGCAAAGCGGAGGCTTTGATGGACAAGGTCTGAGCCCTCAGAACACAATGGGCCAAAGAGGACAGTGAGACCCTTTGTGCACAATTAATATGGGGATGGGCAGCAGGAGTCTCAGCAGACCAAGGACTGACCATGTCCCTAGGAGCTACAAAAAGACAGGACAATGCCCAAGGCCCTGAAGAGCTGTGAAGTATGACAGAATGGCAAGACAGTTCGCTTCCAGAAAGCACTGTGGTTTTTCTTGCCCCCAGGCCTTTGCACATGCTGTTCCCTCTGTCTGGAACACTGTTCCCAGTCCTTCACTTGGGTAGCTCCTACTCATACTGTAGGACTGAGCTTTCCATAACTTCCTCCGGGAAGTCTTCTCTGATCTCTCCCACCCAAGCCTGGGCCAGGGGCCTCCTCTGTACTCCCTCAGCCTCCTTCGCTTCCCCATCACCACAATTTTTTAACCTAGTTGTAATAATGTGTTGTAATAACCCATTGAGTTTTCTCCACCACGGGAACACAGGCTTCCAGAGACACATCAGACTTGTTCCCTGACTATCCCAGTGCTAAGCCCAAGGCCCGGTGAGTACTTGTTACTAGGATGAAAATATATTAAAGAGGAGTCATAGCACCCTCTGTAGTGGATGCTGTTAGTGCCCCACCCAGATCTCCCAGCAAGCAGAAAACCCGTACCCCAGGCGCTGGGATTCTTGACTGGAAATGGTTTACAGATGCCCCTTTCTCTGAAGATCTGCCCTGGACTGGACTGGCTCTCGCTGTCTCACCCCATTTCATGGTCAGCATGCAATTAACTACTGACAGGTCCAGGATCAGCCCACAGGTAGTGACTGACGGACCCAGGATCAGCCTGCGGTTAGTGACTGTCAGACCCAGATGAACAAAGTCCAGCCCCCTGCATCTTAAGCTGGAGCCCATTCTGAGGGGTGATCTGTGCTCCGAGCACCCTCTGGGGTCAGGCCACAGCCTTGCTTCTTCCCCTGCCCTGTCCTCCTTCCCTCTGCTTCTCCTGAGAGCCCTCCTTCAATAAATCTCTTTCCCAAAAATCTTTCTCAGGCTCTGCCTCTAAGGAACCTGACATCCACCTTGGCTACCTCCCTGACATTTAGATGGAGGGGTGGATGGATGGACAAATGGACAGATGGGCAGATGGAGGGATGAAACTGCTTTCATCTGATCTAACTCCTCCATTGCAAAGATGAGGAAACTGAAGCCCAGGGAGGCTTGGTCTAGAGCCCAGGCCTCCAGCACTTTCTCTGCCTCCCCTGCACCCTCCAGCATCTGAGGATGCACTGGGACAACCCCCTCCCCCAGCTCTCTTCCCTACCCTCCGCAACCTCCCCTTCAATCCCCAGAACCTGGCAGGCATGCTATCCCAGAGCGGAAAACTTTGACGCTCAGAGCCCCAATCCCAGGAGCAGGCTCTGGGGGCTCCTTGTGCAGGGTGGGGCCGGCAGAAGCTTCTGGGAAGCCAGTCTTTTCTGAGGCCAGTGGGCCTGAGTTGGTGACTGAGTCAGATGTTCTGGTCTGGATTGTTCCAGCTGGGGAAAAACAACAGCAAAGAAAAGGATGTTACACAGAAGATGGATTTTCTTTTTTTCTTTTTTGTTTTTTGAGTGGAGGCCTCTCTCTGTCACCCAGGCTGCACTGCGGTGGCATGATCATGGTTCACCACAGCTTTGACCTCCTGGGTTCAAGCAATCCTCCAGCCTTAGCCTCCCTAGTAGCTAGGACTACAGGTGCACCACCATGCCTGGCTAATTTTTTTTTATGTTTTGTAGTGATGAAGTCTTGCTGTGTTGCCCAAGCTGGTCTTGAATTCCTGGACTCAAGCCACCCTCCTGGCTCAGCCTCCTAAAATGCTGGGATTACCGGTATGAGCCACTGTATCTTGGCCAGAAGATGGATTTTCTAAGGGGAAAGTATTTCCTTTTTCAGCTTCTAATAATAGCCTACAACTATTGATCTCCTACTACATGCCAGGCATTGTGCTAAGTTCCCTACGTCTGTCCCTTTGAGGCCTCAAAATAACTCTATGAAATAGGTGACATCCCCACTGCACAGACAGGGAGGTCTGGACTCAGAGAGGTTAAGTACTCGGCTAAAGTCACACAGCCAGTGTGTGTGAAGCTGGGGGATGAACTCGGGTGATTTGCTCGATTCCAGACCTATAAGACTTCAAGCCCCATTCACAGGCGACACCATACATTAAACCCACGGAGCTGAGCCAGCCCAGGTGGTCTCTGCTGTTTATAACCAGAGCCACCTGGAACCTGATTTCATCCAGACAATGACCTCCACCGTCAGCAGAGGGAGTGGGCAGCTCACCTTTCTCCAAGGATGAGGCCTGGTTGAATTTGGGAGAGTAGAGTGAACACAGAACTTTCCAAGGCCCCTCATGCTGGAGTGAGACTGTCTCTGGGGGTGCTGGGGACCGCCTCCGCCCTTTTAAGAATGAGAACTTGCGCCCAGGAGTGGGGGATCTGGAGGAGGTGGGGTTGCGACCAGGGCGGGGCATGGGCCTGGGAAGTCGCCCCCTGCCCTGTTTGGTCTCCTCCCTCTTGGTTTCAGAGCCTGGAGTCACAGGAGAAGCTGAGACCACGCAGGGCAATGCAGCTTGTCTTGGTTCAGGCCTGACTGGGACCATGCTCTCTGGGTTTCCTGGAGGTCCTTGAATCTGGGAGGTGGTTGGCTTTTCTGAGACGCCTGTCCTGAGGCCGGAGGCACAGCCCCGTGGATCTGCAGGGATACGGATGCAGGGCCCCTGGGGCTGTTGTTCCGGCTCATGGATGGATGCTTTATGGCTGAACTTTCTCCTCAAGCCCCCGATGCAGGACTCCTCCTCTGAGCTTGCTGGCTTTGTACAAGCCCATTTTTCCAAGGAAGGTCCTTCATCGGCCTCTGAGTGAGGCAGCACCTTTTGAGAGAAAGGGATTGCCTTGGTTCCAGGTATGTCCTCCAGTGCTCTCAAAGTACACCCGCTGGATGTCCCCATCTCCCTACTGGGAGATGCTCCTCTCCTCTCTTGGGAGAAGTCCAGGAGAGCCACATAGTCTCCCTCCAAGTCCCGGCTGGCCACATCATCCATCCTGAAGGCCATCTCCCCAGGCCTGGCTTGTTCCACCTTGATGAGCCCCGGATACTTGTTCCCACACGTTCTGTCCTTGCCCTTGGCTAAACTCTGGGCGAGAAACACCTGGTTGTCGGGGGACTTGGCCTGGGGCAGCTCTGGAGGGCTGCTCGAACCCAAGGTCTCTAGCTGAAGGGACCCCTGGGCCGGGGAGAGGACATTCACTGCCTGGGGTCCATCATCCACAAACTCTGGGCTGGTTATCTTAGTCCAGGGCACAGGGGCAATCCCATTCTCTGACGCCACCAGGCAGTTGTATAGGGGACGTCCCTCCAGATCGTTGTTGAGGGCCTCCAGCCACTCTTGGGTGAAGAGCAGAGGGTAGGACCCCTCGGGAACAGGCTTCTCGTCCACCATACGGAGGTCCAGGGAGAGGTATTTGACCATGACACAGACAGCCTGCTCCTCCTGGGGCTCGACCTGGAGGTAGAAGTCACCCCGGCGCAGCAGGAGGGGATTGAGCGGTGCCAAGTGGACCACAACCTTGTCCCGCAGACAGAGCGGCCAGCCCTCGTGCAGGAAGAGGCGGTGAGAGTAGGAGGCCTGAGGAGAGAAGGCTGGCATCAGAGAGGCTGGCCCGGAACACGCTGCCCTCGGCACTGCCTCCTCCCCCTCCCAGGTGCAACTAGAGTCAGCCAGGGGCCGGGTAGAAGCAGCACGGGAGAGGCTCTTGCTCTTGAAGCGTTGCGGAAGCTGCCTCCCTTGCCTCACCCAAGTCCCAGCCCTGAACTTGCCGCACTCGCCAGCCTACCAGCCCCAGTGAGAAAGCTCAGAGCACTGGTCGGCAAGTGCCGTTCCCTCGCCTCTTCTTGCTTGGCTCGTGCTCCCTACTTCTCCCCACCCAACCAGAGCAAGTCTCAGCCTCCGTTTTAAAGCCAGGGAGACATGGTGTAGACAAAGGCCTGTAGCACTAATTTATGCAAATTACTTAACGGCTTTGAGCCTCAATTCTCTATCTGCAAATAGGAATAATAATAATATGTGTTAGTACTACTGGGTTGGTATGAGGATGAAGTGAGATTATACAGATGCTCATCAATTTATGTCCCTAAATCTATCATTAAGTTGAAAATATCATACATCAAAAATACATTAAATACACCTAGCGTATCGAACATCAGTTTAACCTTGCCACCTTAAACATGCTCAGAACACTCACATTAACCCATAGTTAGGCAATATCATCTAACACTAAAGCCTGTTTGATAATAAAGTGATAAATATCTCCTGTAACTTATTGTAATTTACCTCATGTAATTTTTCACTATGCTGAGAGTGAAAGACAGAATGGTTATCTGGGGACTTGATGTATGGATTCTGCTGCATGTGTATCAATGTCACACCATGGTAAAGTTGAAAGATCGTAAGTCAAGCCTCTGTAAATTGGGGACCATCTGAACTTATATGCAAAACCCAATACAACGCTCGGCATATAATAGGTAGAAGTTCAATAAATATGAATTCCCTTTCCCTCTGACAACGTTAATCCTTTGAAAAATCGTGGAACTTTTCTATTTTTAAAAAGTCACTCATTGTTTTTATGCCACACTCTAATTTTCACGTGGAGAGGTTACTGAGTGAAGTAGAAGCAATATCGAATGGGAAGTCAGGAAATCTGGCCCCACCACTGACTTACTAGATGACCTTCCTGAACATTCTGGGCTTGCATGTTATTATTTCCCATTAGCGGGTCATGGCATAGCGGTAAAACAAAACTTTTTTAAAAATTTATTTTTGTTTAAAAAAGATAAGATGCCAGTAATCTCTGAAAGGCAGACACAGCAAGTCGTCCTGGAACAGGCCGTGACCCCAGTGATCCCCTCAGGGAGCCTCTCCACGGGGCTGTACGGATCCATGTTCAACAGTGACATCAAATGGTAACAACAGAAACAGCAGGTTTTTGGAAGAGTCTGAGTCGTGGATTAAGTCCCGGGCAGTCTAATAAAATATAGGGCAGGGAAGGCCTCCAGGGAGTGACACTAAACTTCCTGCTAATTAGGTAGGTGTTTCCTGGAACTTCTAGCTGGGGAAAGGGCCAGGTCTGACCATAGTTGTATCCACGTTGGCAAATCCTTTCATGTCAGTTACATTGTAGACTGGGTTGCCTGGAGAAGCTTCCTGCTGTGTGCCTTCATGAGCCTGGGAGCTCTCCACCTCCTTCACCAAGCCTTCTCCAGATGGCAACACGCTTTCCCTCACCTTCTCACTAAATGACACAAAACAGCCTAGCCTGATTTGTTCTTTTGCAAACAGCAGCACCCTAGAGATGACAGCAAAGAGCATCTCCTTTGACTCTCATTTGACTTTCACAGTAGCTCAGGGGCTCAGGCAGTTTAGGAATTATTCTCACTTTACAGGTGGAGAAACAGGCTTGGAGAGGTGAAGTATTTGGCTCATGGTCACACTGCTGGAAAGTGGCCAAGTGGGACTTGGACCTGGGCCTTCACATTTGAAGTCAGCGGTGTCTGTCCCCAAGTTCCAGAGACTTCACATGAAGGTGGCTGCCCCCAGGTGGTGGTGGCTAAAGAGGCTGACTTCGAGGCTGGCACGTCCCTACTTCCGAGGGAGAGACAGGAAGTGGGATAATAGCAGCCAACAGCTACAGAGCACTTGCTGCATGTCAGGCTCTGCACTGAGCTCCGGGTGTCATCTCATGCCTTGGGTGCTATGTTATCAATGTCCCCGTCTGACACCGAAGGCAACTGAAACTCAGAGATGTGACATGGACCTCTCAAGTTCACAGTGATGAGCCCTGATTTGAACCTGGGGCACCTGACTCCAGAGGTCATGCTGTTGATCCCATGTTAACCCCGCCTGCTTTAAGGCGACACATATTTGTCTATAACTACAATTGAGTTAAATTCCTCGACAGTTAAAAATAAAGATGTAGAAAGGATACAACCTTATCACTGGGAAAAATGAGGCAGGGAACAGTGCTAGTGTGGTGCTCATGGCCAAGTAACAGAAGTGAGCAATTGTGTGGTTTGTCCGGGAGAAGCAGTCGGGAAGGAGAGGATCTGCAGGAAATGGTGTCATGTGAATGTGGGCATCCTTTGCAAGTGTTTCTGGGAGAAGCTGTCTTCTCCTCCATACCATTTCCTGGGCACTGAGTTGTTCCTATGAGTCAGGCGTGAGCTAAATGTGTCACTTTTCCTTCTGGTTCCAACCATCTCCAATCCTGGCTCCTACGCCTGAGCTTTCTTTTTTTTTTTGGGGGGGCGGCCTCTCACTGTGTCGCTCAGGCTGAAGTGCAACGGCATGATCACAGCTACTGCAGCCTCAACCTCCTGGGCTCAGATGATGCTTCCTCCTTAGCCTTCCGAGTAGCTGAGACTTTGGGTGCATGCCACCATGTCTGGCTAATTTTTAAAAACTTTTTGTAGAAACGAGTTCTCACTATGTTCCCAGGCTAATCGCAAACTCCTGGGTTCAAGCGATCCTCCCACCTCAGCCTCCTACAGTGCTATGATTACAGGCGTAAGCCACCACACCCGTCCCAGTCTTGAACTTTTAGCTGCCAGTTATTTCTATTGATCATAGTCCTCACCCTTCCTTTTTTGCTCCTAATGGGCTGTGTCCCTGACATGCAGTGAGCAACTCAGGAGAGGTTGGTGAATCCCAAGGACTCTTGAGACTGAGATGACAGTAGGGTGGGTATTAATAACAACAGTGCAAAGAACAGTCAGCCAACCTGAGAAAGGTCCGGGCAAGCTCCTGCAGCGGGTCCCTGAGGCATGGTCTCCTCTGGCTTCTCCCATCCTTTTCTGACCATGGAGGCAGGCACATGACTCAAGCCTGACCAGTCCTGGCTCCCCATTCCTCCCGTCAGAGTGATTGTCTCAGGAATGGACATGTGACCCAAGCCAGGCCAATCAGGACCCTTCCTTGAGATTTTTCTATCTGCAGTTGATGAGGACGAGTTTATTTTCAACTCACACTATAGCATCCCTGGGCTATAAGAATGACGCTGACAAGGAGGGAGAAGCTGAGACATGAGACAGAAAGGGTCTTCAAGGGGCTTGATCCGTGGATCAACTCAGACCGAGGCCTGATCCACCCCGCCCTGGTCTGAGTGATCTGTCATCTGCAGCCAACAGTTCTGCCTAGGACACTTTTCCCTCCACTTGGCCTCCGGAGAGGCCACACTGAGACTGAATTTGAAGGAGTCACCAGGGAAGAAAGCAAGAGTCCTGATGCCTCGGGGCTCCAGGGAGCTCTTGGATGTTCTCTGCCGCTTCCCTCAAAGCTGCTCCACTTCAGCCAAAGCAGCCCGGCGGTGCCCACCATGCCACCCCAGGGCAGTCTCCAGACCTTCTGATTCAGTCCTTCCTTCCCACTAGTGCAAGTGTGAATGCAAGGGACTCCCAGATTTCACAAGGCATAGGGCACACAACCCCCTGCTCCATCTAGGGGGCTGGGGTCTCCCTTTGGAAAGCTCACCCGCACGCTCAGTTCTTCCTGTGAGACAAGACACATGCTGGCCCACCTCCTTCCGGGCCTGCCTCCAGCCCCATGGCTTTCTGGGAGAGCTTGTCCACTGGCCCTGGGCCCTCTGACTTACGCAGGCCATTTCGCGCACTTGCTCACACAGGCGCTTGGCAGGGATCAGGAAATCCAGGAGGAAGCTCAGTCCATCCCCCTGGAAGTCAGAGTCCAGGAGCCGGAACACCTGACCCAGGACGGTGGGCGCCGTGGCCTCAAAGGGAGGGTAGAGGCCCGCCAGGGCATGCTGGATGGCTGTGTCCAGGGAGGGAGGGTCCTGTGGGGGACAGGAGGAAAGGGTAGAAGTAATGATGCAGCGATAACAAGGGCAGTGTCCACTTCCCTGACCTCCAGGCCCCGTGTGACCAGGGCCTTGCTAACTCTCTATCCTCCCCCCCTACCCTGTCCCTCTCATTCACCTCTTCCAGCCACGTTAGAGTTCTTTTCTGTTCCTCACACACACTAGACACAATCTCACCTCAGGGCCTTTGTACTGGCTGTTCACTCTGCCTAGAAACCTCTTCCTCAAGCAATCTCATTCCCTCACTTCCCGCAGGTCTTTGCTCAAAAGTCATCTGATAGTTCAAGAAGCAGAGGAGGAACTGGATGGGGCATTCAGGTCAGGATCAAAGGGAAGGAGGAGGTTGGCATCACCCAAACCCCATGGCCTGGCTGACCTGTCGACTCGCAGTTGGAAGCTGAGCACCAGAGAAGCCCAGTTCTAGTCAGACAACCCAGTTCACACACAGGTGGGCGAGTGACAGGAAAGGACTGCTGCTCTGGCCACGGGACTCTTGGGCAGCTTGTTCCACAGCAGTAAATGACGCAGGTCCAGAGCTCCTGACTCTACATCGAGCTCCTTCTAGATGTGTCTCAGGCACCGGGCATGAGCTCATCAGACCCAGCCCGGCCACTTCCCAGGCCCGCTCCTCCCCATTCCTCTCTCAGTGATGACCTCCCCACCCAGTCGGGCTCCTGGGCCCGAAATGCACTCCTTACGACTCCCCCACACCTCAGCTCGTCCTAGACGCCCTCCTCCGCCACAGCTCACCAGCTGCCGTGCTCTGCTCAGCCCAACCCAGCCCCATCCAGGCTCCACAATTACGTGGGGTCACCTCCTCCTTGACTGTCAACTTCTAGTCTTCCTCACTCCAGCCACTCTCCACCAGGACCCCAGCGTGAGCTTTCTTAGATGCAAACCTGACTTCCTCCTGCTCGAGCTCTTCAAGGGCTCCCCACTGCCTTCAGGAAGCACTGGCCTCCAGGCACCCAGCTCACCAAGATAGGGCCACCATGCGCCACCCCTGCTTCTGTGCCCGCCTCACTGCCTCACCGCCTCTCTCGTGCTTCCAAGTGGCACACGCCTCGTCTCACACACTCCAGGTCTTTGCACATACTGTTCCTTCCTCTGGCAATGCCCTCCACTTCCACTTCCACCTCACTAGGCCAACCCCTCATTCCTCAAGATCCGGGTCAGCCCTCAGCTCTTCCAAGAGGTTTCCCTGACCTCCCAGCCTCCTACCCAACCCAGCAGGGTCAAATGTCCCTTTTCCTGGGCTCCTGTGGGACCCTATCGTAGTAGTTCCCCAAATGATTATGTCTCCCTCAGGGGACTCCAGACTCCCTAAGGGCAGGGTTAGTAAGCAGAACAGACCCTGGAGATGCCCATGTCCTAATCTCTGGGACCCTTGAACATGTTATCTTGAATGTTAGAGGTTAGGGTTGCAGATGGAATTAAAGTGCTCGTCAGCTGCCTGTCACACAGAGAGGCTATCTTGGTTACACAGAGGTCCCCCAAAGGACAGGAGGATTCAAGAGGGTAAGGAGTCAGGGGAGACGTGCCTTTGGTGGCAGGACTGAAGCCGCGGCTGACTGTGCGCGCAAATGAAGAGCCAAGGCACGTGGCCGTCTCCGGGAGGGGGGAAGAGGCGGGGCCAAGGAATGTGGGCGTCTCCTAGAGGCGGGAAGAGGCGGGGCCAAGGGATGCGGGCGTCTCCGGGAGGCGGGGCCAAGGGATGTGGGCGTCTCCTGGAGGCGGGGCCAAGGGATGTGGGCGGCTCCGGGAGGCGGGGCCAAAGAATGTGGGCGTCTCCTGGAGGCGGGAAGAGGAGGGGCCAAGGGATGCGGGCGTCTCCGGGAGGCGGGGCCAAGGGATGTGGGCGGCTCCGGGAGGCGGGGCCAAGGGATGTGGGCGTCTCCGGGAGGCGGGAAGAGGAGGGGCCAAGGGATGCGGGCGTCTCCGGGAGGCGGGGCCAAGGGATGTGGGCGGCTCCGGGAGGCGGGAAGAGGCGGCGAGCTGGTTGTCCCCGAGCCTCAAAAACGCGGCCCACCCACGCCTTGCCTTCCACTTACGATCCGAAAGATAATGCGTGAGTGCTGCCTTCGGCTACTGAGCGTGTGACCCCGTGTTAGAGCAGCCCTAGCGAGCGGACTTGGCGGGCACTGGCGCCTGCTGCTCTCTGGGTCCTCGGCAGCTGGCACGCGGCCAGGCGCGCAACAGGGCTCGGTGGATCTTGTCCCAGAATGGACAAACTGCCCCTCTCGGGACCGCGAGCGTTCCACCCTTCGAAGAGGGAAGAGGGACGAGGCCAGCGGTCTCCAGGCATCACTGCCGCCGTAGGCAGCACAAAGCTGGGCACAGAGAGCTGTCATCACTATTTATAGAATGAGTGAATGAATGAATGTCTGCAGTCCCATTCTGAAGGAAAGACGATCTTGGACTGACAGGGCCCTGAGCTCAGCAGGGATGATGTACTGACAGGCACTCGACGCTGAACGCGCACGTGCAGGGGCGGCGAGGGGGTGAGGGCGCGTCCACTCCGAGGAGGGGAGGGGTCTTCAATTCGGCAGGACAGAGAAGGGTTCATCTGGCCTGGTGTCCTCTTCTGATGGGCTCCCCACCCTCGCCTAGCAAGGTCCTACCGGTCATTTCTCACCCCATGCAATCCTCAGCACAGCAGTGGTGGGGGGAGGGTTAGGGAAGAAGAGGATCACCCTGGCCCTCTGTGAGCACACCGGGTCAGCGGGCCAGCACCCCTCCCTGCCGTGAGCCTTCCCCACCTCACCCGCCTCTCCTGGGACCTCACTGTGCAGCCTCAAGTAGATCCCTTCCCTCTCTGGGTCTCTTTCTTCATGTGCAGATGGAGCTGGGACAAGCTTGTTTAGTTTTGTTTTGGGAAATTTCATCATTCACTGTCACTTTCGTGATTTTTGTTTTGTCCTTGAGTTGGGGTCTCACTCTGTTGCCTAGTCTGGAGCGTAGTGGCATTATCACGGCTCACTGCAGCCTCAACCTCCTAGGCTCAGGCGATCCTCAGCCTCCTGAGTGGCTGGGACTACAGACACACACCACTGTGCCCAGCTAAATTTATTTTTTGTAGAGATGAGCTCTTGCTGTGTTGCCCAGGCTGGTCTTGATCTCCTGGGCTCAAGCAATCCTCCCACCTTGACTTCCCCAAGTGTTAAGATTATAGACATGAGTGACTGCAACCGGCATCTTTGTGAATTTTAGCATCTCCACATACCAGCTTATTAGCACTTGCTGTTTTTCTTCAAATCAACTCACTTTTTAAAAGTTTGCATAATTGTGTTTTAAATGAGACACTATATCACCACATTGATTATGAGAATGCAACCAGACTGGGTTCAAATTTTGACTCTGTCACTTACTGGTTGTGTGACCTGGCAAGTTACTTAACTCTCCGAGTTTCAGTTTCCTCATCTATAACATGGAGATTGTAATCAAAGCAACCTGAAAGAATTGAATGAGCTTGAATGAGATGTAAATTCTCAGCACAGGACCAGGTGCTAATTAAATAAGAGCCATTCTTGCTATTTTATACATAGATTTTATATATGTCATACTATAGTTACTAAATCACTGCTATATATGGAAAAATCTATGTAAACTGGCATAAATAGACTGTAACTCCAGAGATAAACCAGTGATGCATTGGATAGCTTTTATATTATTTTACTTATGTATTTATATTGATCATATATTTATGATTCTAATAATTAACTGTGTGTCATATATATGTTTCTATAAATAACATAATATACAAATATATAAAATATATTTTAGTTTTACTGTTTTATTTCTACCAAAATAAACTACTTTTTAAAAGAAAAGTAAACAACAAAAACAAATAGTGGCCATTACATTCTAGGAACATCTAGTTACCTCCTGGAGGTGCAGGAGATCTTTCTTTCCCCCCAAATCAAGATTGGCACGCATTAGAAAGACTAAAGATGTCTTGGCTGGGTGTGGTGGCTCACACCTATAATCCCAGCACTTTGGGAGGCTGAGGCAGGAGGATTGCTTGAGCCCAGGAGTTTCAGATCAATCTTGGCAACATAGTGAGACCTCTTCTCTACAAAAATTTTAAAAATTAGCCAGACATGGTGGCACATGCCTATAGTCCCAGCTACTCAGGAGGCTGAGGCAGGAAGATCACCTGAGTCCAGGAGGTCAAGGCTGCAGTGAGCTATAATTGTGCCAGTGCATTCTAGCCTGGGTGACAGAGTGAGACCCTCACTAGAAAGAAAGAAAGAAAAAAGGAAGGAAGGAAGGAAGAGAAAGAAGAAAGAAAGAAAGAAAGAAAGAAAGAAAGAAAGAAAGAAAGAAAGAAAGAAGGAAAGATTGATTAAAGAGGTCTTATTAACCAGAGGAAGCTTTTCTCCTTGGGTTCACAGAAGATAGAAAATTCAAAATGTCCTGTCACCAGACAGTACCATGTCATTTAGTTCCGGTCTATGACATATCTTGTGTCCTAACTCATCCCAACGTCTAGGAAACAAGGAGTTAAACTCTCTCTTCCTCAATGCTCCTCAGTTTCCTCATCGGCACATAGATGGGGATTCTAGTTCCTACCCTGCCACCCTCAGATGACTGTTCTGGAGATACAAGGAGATTGTAGACGTAGAGGGTCTTGGGAAAAGCAACAGGTCTTGCTGCAGTTATTATTAATTGTTATTTATTTTATTCATCCTGTCAAAGCTCAGGTTCCAGCCTCAGTGTGAAGACATCTTCCCTCTCCCAGTCTCTTCCTGAATCCACTGCCATCACCCCATCAATACCAGCTGCTGGATGCCAGGCCCTCCACTCCACTTCTCTTACTGCACCCACATGGCCATGCTGGGTCTCAGCAGGAACCACCATTTTGTCCGTAAAGCAACTGAGACTGATCTCGCCCAAAAGCACAGAGAGGAGGAGACACAGCCAGCATCTACAGATCCAGGCCAGTGAAGTCCGCCGCGTCCATCCCCTGCTGCCTC